AAAAAAAAGGGAGATTTCCAAGATAAAGAAATTTATAACGAGTATTTAGTAAATTGACATGTCGTGGCATTGCTTCAACCTTTGATTAAAATTTCACTTCAATGCATTAGGATATTAAAATTATACCGAGTGAGAGAAAAAAATACTTAAAGAAATTTAAAACCATGCAGTCACAAAGCTTAGGCACTGTCTCAATGTATATGTTTATGGGACCCAAGGGCAGGAGGGTCCAAACGTTTATGTATTAATATTATGTTCTTTGGCAGTGAGGACAGACGTTCACTTGAATGTCATTTTCACAAACCACAGTTGGGACGTTTTCTTTTGACTTATCCTTGGTGATTTTTCACTGTGTTGTGCAAAAGAAAAGCCATCTATCACCGACTCAAAAAAACTCATGGCGACCATCCTCAGTCACCACCTTAAAATCGCTTTCTATGATATCGTTCCCTCCCAGCACATCGTCCAAATAACTACCTGTGAAAAAAATCGTCAGCATACAGCGCCGCTTTGACACTACTGATTTCGAATTCTAACGCGAAATAACGCATATAAAATCAATCTCCGAGCGGAGGAGAGCGACCCAGACGAAACCTTGAGACAGGAGGCCCCCCGTAGCTTGCTCCGCCCACCGTAACAGACATCGGACAATAGAGAGGCTTGCGTGTAATCTCCTTCTGTTATAACTCCTTGTTTTCACCATGAACTGAACTTTGCAAGTTTTGTTCCCTTTTAACTCCAAACCTGGCAGAGATAGGTCCATAGTTACTATTGAAGTTGAAAAGGAAGTCATATACTTTCAATTTACTGTGACCTTGAAATTGACCTTTGACCTACCTTACGATGAACTGAACTTTGATTGTACCATTTTCAGTTATATATATTTTTTGCATATTTTGAAAATACTTGTTGATTGCATTTTTTTACAGCTTGTCAAGCACAAGACTGGTGGTGGTGTCCCTTTTTTTTGTGTGTGTGTGTGGGGTCTATACGAATGCGCTTACTCCAGCTGGTGGTACAATATTCGGATGCGGTATCGCCTCTCTGATCCTCTAGTTATTTTCTGCTTTTTGTCTGTACATTTGACTGCTTTACTGCCTTGTTTTTTTACTAATTTTTAAGCTCTTTCTGCAGATGTAATGCAAGTTATTGTATGCATCAAAGAGGGCTTCATAATTATGACTACAAACCTGACTTTTCCCAGCACAAATAATGAAAATAAAGATAAAATCAATCAAATAAAGGAAACCGTAAATGTTATGTAATTTGGTTTTTATGAACAGCCACATGATATCTGAATGAGAGAAATGATGGGGGAGATTTTTAATCTGTTTTATTTTAAAAAGTCTGAAATCATTTTCAGGATGTCTGCAGGTATGCCCAATGTGTGAACGATCTTGGTTGTTGTTTCAACAATAAAATATTAAAATATCTGTGTTAGTTTCACTCAAGTTTTGGTGAGAAAAACACTGGAATTTATAAGCTTGAAATCTTGTACAGACCAGGACGCTAAGGGAGGATAAAAAGCATAACAATATTGATACCAGTAGTACATCCAGCCTGTTGTTGTTGACAGGTATTTAATCAGAGTAAACTACTTTTTCTGTCTTTGGCAAGCTCCAATTTTGCAGAAGGGCAGAAGATGCCTATCTTTTCATTATCTTTCATGTAACCATTTACACTGACATTCCAGATTTTAATTATCTTCCTAGCAATGCAACCCATACTTGACATGGAATTTTTTAGAATTGTGCAAAAGTTATAATTTATGTAGTCTTTTGAATTGTGAAAAAATTCCATTTGCTGAGAAATTGAAAATGTATGTGGTTGACTAAAAGCAAGTTAGAATATAACCCAATTTTATCAGAACTGCACACCTTGCACATGCCACATACACATAGCACTAGTGCAGAGGTGGGTGTCTAGTATTCTAAAACATTACGTGTCAGCAATAACACTGTCACAACTGCTATAATAAGCTATGATGAAGTGTAGCAGTATTTTTTTTCTAGGGTAGAAAGTTCTCAGCAGACCTCCAGCCCAATGGAAAAATTTGGTGGCCAGAGGGCAAAATGTCCTTCAACTCCCCCAGTGCTTGGGCCATTCACTGCAAGAAGATGGTCAATCCATCCAAGAAGTCGGGATGTGGATGGGCATCGGTCGGTATATATTTGTGATAGCTAACTGCTATTATTGGCATACCAGTAACTGGATAGCCCTGGCATGACAAGACATGGTATAATTTTAGTTATGATGGGATTTAAGTTGTGCCATGACAGACAGATAATAACTGAAAGTTATGTTATAACATATTTCAATATAGGAAAAAGTATCCTTTTTGTTAAGTGACTGGCTGTATGATATAACATTTCCCATAAAAAAAAATTGTGTGAGAAAGATACGTAATCATAATTAGATAAAATTGGATCAGATAATTTAAAAAATACAAATTATAGCCTTAGAGAGTTTTTATTGAACAATTGGTATTTTTATCTTGAAGGTAAAATATAAAGGCAGGAAATTGGATGCCTGGAAGACAACTTGGTTTAGGAGACAAAAACCAAACAGTTTCCCAACAGTAAGTTTACATATGAACCACTTCATATTAAATGTACTAAGACTCACATTGCAATTTTTTGGGTATTTTGATAATACCACCTTCCCTGGACAATGTCCAGCATAAAATGGACATTGATATGGTTGCTGTCTATTGCATAGCCCACCTTTAATAAAGAGGAATCTTCAGACGTTAAAGATGAAGAAAATGAGGAGAATGGGACCGGACTTGAGGACCAAGAATCAAAAGCTAAAACAAGGAAAACTATTGAAGTAGATAAGACTGGAGAAGGTAATTTGACTTTGCCTGACATAGATCAAACTGTGAGATGTTTGTATTTGATGACTTTGACTTTTTGCTTTTAACTTTTACTTGTTGAGAGAGACAGAGGGAGGAATGAAGGAGACTGTTACTTTGAGCAAGAAAAAGAAATGGATTTACTTGTTGATAGAAAAATCCACTTCCTTACAGAAATAAGTTCTACTTGTCTATTTTAGAAAAGAAAAAAACTGATTTTTAATTATGCTTGTTGACAAAGAAATGTCATTTGAAAGTCATTGTGCCAGGGCCTTCATGAGCTGATATATAGTTAACATTTCCATATTTTCTTCATCAAAATGTAGCAGAAGGAAGAAAAATCTCAGTTAAACATTCCTCATTAGGAAAGAAGAGACAGAATAAGTAAGTTACTCAGTTTGACATGTGACCTGTGTTAAAGTGAACCAACTTGTGACACTTGTAATATCTTAATGATAAGTAACCTGGAAATACATTGCCAAATACATAGAGCAATAATTAGAAAATTGCCATTTTGTAGTTGAAATGAAATCTAAATGCCACCCAAATTGCATGTATAGTGTGGTGGTGATTGTGCTATTAAGAATTCTGTTATATTGTATCAAAATTGACAAAAAAGTATTTTGTGTATAATCAATAAAACACCTTAAGTGGTAAATCAGGTTTTATTCTCTAACTTACAGAATGGATTTTTAGGACTAAAATACGGTTTGAATGTAAAAACCAACCTAATTTTGGTACACATGATTTTAGTCCCTACACGCATGTTCTGCCAGCTCCACCGCCATGTAACTTTTCCTCCTAGACTACAAGAGCCTGTGTACCCATCTCTTGGATTTAGGTCACATATAATCACAACTCGATCCACGTAAATTTTGGGCTTTGTCAGAGCTGGGGTCTAGGTGTGGTGCTTATTACAATGCACCCTTGTCCAAAATTTGCAAAATTAAATGTTAAATATCTCCCAAACCAAAGGAATTATAATATATAATAATTTATTGAGCACTAAAATGTTTCAGTACATTTTTGCAGGCCCTCTAAACTACTTGTGTTATACATACATGGGAAAAATTTCTACAGATGGCTGACTGAAGGTCATATATGGATCGATCTAAGTATGGGAACCCAGTCTTACTAAAATACAAATCAAGTTCGAAAATAAGTTTGATCAGTTAAGTTTTGATGAAGGTATGCCTTTTTTGAATATAAGTGTTTTTTCCTCAGATTAAATTCCTAGGCATGTAAACGGTCTCATTATTGAACTAATTAGATACGTAAAGTGTTCTTTTGACATTTTCTGCATCTTAAAAATATTGTTAGTTGATAATATAAAAACGATGCTAAACCTGTTATTGTGTATTGTGTAATAAAGTGTCAAAAATGGAAATANTCATCTCATTTTACTTCACAGTACCACATGACCTTGATCTTTCACTTCATTTTTGCATATTGATGTAGGTGTTTATAATGCTCTTTTACCTTCTAATCATTTATATCATAGCATTAATAGGGTGGTGATCAATTGAAATACATCTTTAACATACAGATCTAGTGTTGTTTTTCTAAAACTTGAAAACTGGTATATACCGTGGCGCTTCCCCTTTAAGGTATTACATAGATTTAAAACCCATAAGATATTTACATGGCTCTCACAGATTTCAAATTTTTCTTTGTAGACAAGGGCAAAATAGTTAACCAAAAATTGTCTTATATTCAGGATTTCCACAGTCACTTGACCTGTAGTGAGATAGTCGGCTACCTTGGAGGGAGATGGGACCCAGTCAGCCAGCGTAAGAGCTACATAGAAATTTAAATTTACAATTACATTTAGACACTTTTATTCAGTTGAAATTTGCATAAGTATATGCTGTGTTTTAAGTACTTCTTATTATTAACTAACCAACTCACAAACTTTCAGTTTACTAGTTACAAGTTAAGTATAAAAAGAATTTATGTTTAAAGTTCTAACATTACATATTTTTTAAATTTTAATGATAAAATAAAAATGATTAGCTAGTAATTAAGATTTTTGTGGACATGGTGCATAAAGCGACAATGCGTATCTGTCATATATAGGCCTATCAAAAGATGCTAGCTGCATCAGATAAAGTATGGCCAGTTTACTGATAATGTAATATTGGTGAAAGAGTTGTTTTTGGATTTTTGATTTTCTCTATTATCTGGGCCCATATCAGGAAAAATCAGTATATGCCAGTAATAAGTTACTCAGTGACATTGTAAACAGCCCTATATTAACCTTTTTCATCTTTTGCGGAAATACGAAGTGCGCATGACAGGAACCGCGCGCCACAGGGATCATGGTAGTCCTCTGCTGTTTCCAGCATGGTAATGCTAGGTGTAGATGATGTACAAGGTGTGCATATAAAAAGGTCATATGAAGCGTGCATTGCTTTCCGTCAAACTAAAAAGGTGGCTGAAGCACAGAAATGCATAAACTGTAGGCAAGATACAGCTATTTGGGAGAATCAAGCAATTAAATGTTTTCTTTCTCAGTTTAAATACGATGCACTGTACAACTAGACTTCACCTAAGCGTCCGAGCCTTGGCTGCACTGTCAATATTGATGACGAACTAAAGCTTCAGAGTTCTTTTAAATGCTTCGGATAATAAAGATATGCGAAAGAGACTCGTACCTACTGTTTATAGGCCTACAGGTAAAACTGATACACAGATCGTTCGTCTGCGAACTGATTAAATCGTTTGGTACCTGATAAGGCATCAGGTGTTACTTGTTCAATTGTTCGGTAAAGGGGGCGGCCACAACTACGACCTTTCCTCTGTTATTAAAACCTTCTAATTTTAAGTGTTAAATAGATGAGACAGGAATTCTGGACTCTTTCCCAGAAGATGATTTAAGTTTACCGTGTCTTACTCTAGTATGTGTACAAAATTTACGACAGATAAAAAATGTCAGACTTTCGGTCTGACAAGTATGAAAATTTTGTCAAACTGAAACAAGACTGTCAGGCAAAAACAAAATTATAGCAAGAGGCCAAATTATTTGATTTTTAAATGTTTTCATGCGTATTTTTATCGTTTTCAATCAAAGACAATAAAATCATTCAAATAAAGTGTTTTCCACACATGTCATACTTTTCAACTATCTAAGACAGTTAAATATACGTAGTCCTACTTTAATACTTAGCATATTTGTATTACTTTACAAATAGGCCTACGTTGTTAGATGATTTTTATTATCTATTTTGTCTTTACCATACATGTATTATGTACGTGTAGCTTACAGAAAACCTTTTCTCCTTTTTTTTTTGGTAAATACATGCCCATTGAATTTTCCAATTCTCTTGTCATTGAGTTCAGAAATAAATGACTTTTTATTTTGCCGATAACGCATTCAACAAGAGCCGATGTACTTTCTTCTTCGTATGCCTCTGCTGATCTTGATAATATGAGTCCCGTTTGTACAAATCAGTAATACGTATGCGGGACTGGATACATAATAAAAATTTTATTAACGTCTCACGTTTAAAAAAATAGAACCCACCCTACTAAGGGTTATGAGAGACTAAAACCTGTGATAGGCCTACAACATTTAAAATGATCACTTATCAATAAAACACACACAAAAAGGATATTACCTGTACATACAAAACTTTTCAAACCTTCTCTTTGTTGTTACACAAAAAGTCGGTAAAGTTCTTGAATTTTTTGTAATTAGAATCCCCGTGTAAAACTTCACACCTTTTACCTCCTTTTTCCATAATCTCATGCTTAAAGTCTTTTCTTTCTTTTTAGGCCCCTATTCATCAATTTTTTCTTCAGAACTTTATAATGTTTTTTTTCCTGCATTGTTTATCCCCGAGTTCTATTTGCCGATAGTTTGTTATATCCGTTGATTAACTAAGCATTTCTGTTTTTTATTGAAGCACCGTTGATCTCCTAATATTATAGTTTTTCTTCCCGCCTTCGAAATGTTCAGCGCAAACGCGGTGCCCTGCTTTTATATTTCCTTTCTTTCTACCATATTTTTCATTCTTACGGGTTTGTTGGGAACTTTTTAAACCTCATGTGCCGATATCGCTTACTGTTATAGCGGGACAAAAAGCACGTAAACTCAGCCATGGTTTTTAGCACCGCTGTAAGTGTTTCAACGTAGCTCCCCTACCCACAATGCAATTTCCATTTCCGGAAAAGATGAAAAAGGCTAATAAGATATCTTGGATAGTAAGCGTCATTCTGATCTTCAAAGCAAACTACCCTATTTTCAGGGTTTGTGTCTAAGCATTCTTTAACTTTGGTCACTTAGTGCAGTATAATATTAATGTTTTAACTTCTCACTTATCCCATATATACATACATACATACATACATACATACATACATACTTACATACATACATGTCTGATGTGAGAGAGGGAGAGAAACAAGACACATTCAAAGCTGAATATTGATAAATTTATTCTCTATTCGAAACGGCAGGAGATGACCCCTTTTTGGATTTGCAATGTCTGTCAATAGATGATTACTATCAATCATGGTTATCATCTACTGACAAAAAATTAAAGTTCAGAAATAGATCCATATTAGTATACCAGTAGATCATCTGAGACAGATATCTTATAATCTTTGTAACCCATTGTTTCCTCTACTTCAGACATGAGTGTCCAGCAAGCATTCCCATGTCGCTGTAGATTGGGAGACCAGGAAAATGCCAGTAAAGTGGAAAATGAGGTATTGTTGTATTATATGACTTGAATACATTCAACATGCCAAAAGATAAACCAAATTAATCACTCGATCAGTCATAAAAGAGCTATAAACTACACTTTTTTGAAATTTGTTGGTCATAAATTTGACCTACTTATTATACTACCAGAGTGGCACTGGTGGTACACATGGTTTTTAGTCCAGACCGATATCATCTGCCACCACGTCACCGTTACTTCTTCTCCTCCTGAACTACAAGAGCCCCTGTATCCATCTCTTGTATGTGGGTCACATATAATCTCAACTCCATCCATGTGAATTTTGGGCTTTATCAGTGCTAGGATCTAGATGTGGTACTCTTTACAACGCGCCCTTGTCCAAAATTTGCAGAATTAAATGCTAAATATCTCCCAAAAAAAAAGGAATTATGGGAAAAATTTCTATAGATGGCTGACCGAAAGTCATATGTGGAGATATCAAATATGCCCTTGGATGTGACCTTTGACCTTTATTTCAAGGTTAAAAGGGCCAAAATATTCTAAAATACGAATTTTTTGCGGAAAAAAATATTTCTGCCAATTTTCAGAAACTTCACAGGCCTAACCTATAATATATGGACAGGTGTTACACTCAGGGTCATATTTCATCCTCGTGAGTTTGGGGTTAATCGGTGCATTTTCGCGGGAGAAGTGACCATTAGATGCCAAAATTGAAAACTAATTCTGGAGTAAATGCTGGAGACCTTTTTTTTTGCATTTTGTAGAGCTTGTCAAGCGCAACACTGGAGGTGGTGTCCGTTTTTTTGTTTTTCATACGGTTTACGAGTTTGCTATATCAAAAAGTACAACATGGTGGTGAAAATAAAAAGTGAAACTGGGGTAGCACTATTTTTTTTTGTTTCAGCCAAACTTCTGAAAAAATTAAGCCAAATCAAAAATTTTGTAGCAAACTTATAATATTTTTAGCCAAATAAAAAAATGACAATTTAAGGAATGTAAACCAATATTTATTCCATTTTAAATGCATTTTTTACAATGTTGATGCAAACAAGATTTAAAATCTAATGAATCTTTCCTTCTTTTTTAATTGTTCATGTTCTTGTACTATATACATGTAACATATCATCCAAAGGTGTGAAAAATAAATGATGCAAGTGTTCAAAATTGATGATTCTAAAATGGTTTGGACCCCATCCTCTTCCATTTGTATTAGATGTGCAGGTCCACATTATTGTCATTTTTGTTGCTGCTGAACTAATACATTTGAATGGCTTGACTCTTTGTCTGCAGACAGGTCAACTGAAACTGAATAGTAAAAAAAAAGGCATGTTGTTGAAAGCCAGTGACAGTGGGACGGTATTAAACGTTAACAAATATGTCAAATAAATGGGGGGGGGGGGGGGGG